GTAGAGTACAATGTACGTAGTACGGGGGAACAAGTAGATGATTAATTCGAAAAAATAGGAGCGCTTGTTAAAGCAGCTCTGTGCATCGTAAAATCTGTTAATCTTGTCGTGGTCACACCTCGTGGTGATGAAAAGCGAATTAAGAATTGTGGATTTACCGCGCGCTGTTCGCGGAAGATAAGCTGCTTGTAAGGTTGAGAATAAAATCTGAGAAATGCAGATTGTAAATTTTCTTATAACCGCTAACTGCTTTGTTACATCGTAAAATTTTAAAACTTTTATTTAAGTAACCGGGTATTGTTGCCGTCAAATCTATATGTTTCCCATATATTTATCTTACTTCGTATAACCATGACTATCAGGATGTCCTTATCTTTTATTATAAAAAAGATAAAAATAAAAAATAAATTACAAAAGTTATTGCCGTAGTGGCTTTTTCACAAAAGATCATTATAATATACGGAAGACTTATTACGAAATATTCAAGGACTTTTTAAACAATGAAATCGAGCTGAAAAGAAAGCCATGGTAATAATCTTTTATTACAAATTTTAATTCGTCACATGTAATTTAATATTTTCCCGCTACGCGTAAACGAATAATTTCATTAGACTGTTATTATGGGGAGGCATTGCACGTATGAAATTTATATCTATCCAAATTAAGCACAGATTAGAGTATTTATACAATTAACCGCGCTTTCATTATCATCTCTGAACATGGAAATATGTTTTTTCTTTCTTTTTATTTTCTCTTTTTTTATTATTATTATATCAATTAAATTTAAAGTAGTTCAAATGGATAGATTACGCTGTTTAGAAAGGCGCGAATGGAAGTTTATTGGGGGCGGAGGGGGGGGGGAGGCATTATGTAGCGGTTTAATTTTAACAAGAACTCAAAGACTTGCACTTTTTCATATTAAATATTATAAAGTAAATAAGCACGGAATCAACAAGAAAGTCAATGCACTTTGTATGGGGAAAGGAAGAGGCCTAAAGCGTAGGCGCCACGTGCAAAAATTCCCCCTGCCAGCCAAATACATAAAACGTCCCGCTCGCGCCAACAATTTTTTCAGCAGCCGGCACTGCGCGGCGATTAATTATAAATAATTAGACGCTGCTATTATTCTCTCTCTCTCTCACACTCTCTCTCTCTCTCTCTCTCTCTTTTACATAGGTAGGCGCCTGATAACGGTATACACGCTGCTTGCGCATAATGGCGAGCACCCCGAAGTCATTGTTCGGGGCGCTCACGCGATATACGGCAAAAGGAGGGAAAAAGTAGTGAATTAGTAGCGAGAGAGTGAGCGAGCGAGAGAGATTATACGCTGTTTTTTCCATTTCACTACTTATACTTGCTACTGTTTCTTCGTTGTATTCTAGAAGTAATATGTTGATGCGTCTGATTAAATATATAGTCGTGGCTTGTTTGCGCAGAATCATGTGAAGTTGGAGACGGTTAAGCATAAATGGTTTGAGGAATTAAGCAGCTTAATGCCGTGTAATAATTAAAGATCGTTCCTTCATGATTTTGATTTATGATTAAACACGATGTTTAGTTGTATTTGATATTTTTATAAGCGATGCTAGATACACGCGATGGAAGAATGAATACCTTTGTTAAATCAGACGATAAATTACAGGATACCGAACGATGATGTGTAATTTTATTATATTATTTTACATATATTTATTAAGCTTTAATCATAGCTTTCATGTTTATTTTTAGATTATTTTTTTTTTTTTTTTTTTTTTTTTTTTTTTTATAGAAAGCAATAAATAGATGGGAATAATAAGCATTGAGATAAATGTAGGGTGAACATTTTCGTTTTGAATAGCCACTTGGCTAGCCGAGGCCTACAAAATCAACAAAAAAAAAAAAAAGCCCAATCAAATTCAGAAATATAAAGGAAAGCTACTATAGAGTCATGAATAAGTTAAGGCTTTAATAGCAATCCACATCAATAAAGTTTATGCGCAATAGTCATGGTTATGGAATTGATTAAGACTATTTTATATTACGGAATTATGGAATAGAATACATATTAAAAGAAAATATCATTGACATATTCTTACTAATAATTTATATTATTAGTAGAGCGCAAGTAGGAAGGTGAAATTATTAAATATTAATTCCGCGATATTGGCTCGAATTTCTAAAGATTTAATTAATTTGTATTTTTATCATATTATGCTTTATCCGCGCATTCCTTAATCACATTTGTAGATAAAAATGTTTGCGTGATTAGATAGCAGTGATATTCAGAGTGACAGTAACGATAAGTTCTTAAATTTCTTTAAGCAAAATATTTAAGGGAGCAGTTTTTATTTGATCGATCGTGCTTAGATTATGATGGAAAATCTTAAATTTTTGACGAGTTGGGCAAATCCTCGAACTTCCATGCGTATACGTAAATTACTTTGATGTTTACAAATAAAATTGACGGAAACAATTGGTTGAAAAAGATTGCCAAGGAAATCTTGCGGCAACGAGAAAATAAGGACTCTCTCCCTCTATCTCTCTCTCTCTCTCTCTCTCTCTGCAACACGAGATTTCTAGATGCGAGAACGAATTTGCATTCGCATTGGAACGAAAAGAAGAAAAAAACGACAAATTTCTCCTACGCTGTCATGAATTCAAGTACTTTCTACGACTGATACGAAAGTGCAAAAAGACATTGTATTTCCGATCGGCATCGATCTAGTTTCGGCATTCGCACTTGCAAATATTCGCACGCACGCACGCGTAGAATACGAAAGCGGTGGTCCGTTTTGAGGATAATCGCTCCTACTTGCGTTTGAAAGACGAAGAACATAACGATAACAAGAGAGAAAATAAATATATTACCTCCATCATCCCCCTCCTTACCTCTTCCAATTCAAATTCGAGTAAATCTCCCGAGCGTATCCGATCGATTAATCCCCAGGTACAGAGTCGTGTAAAACTCGCCCGATACTCGGTCATTTTCGGCACCTTCGGCTACCACTGATCGTCGTCAGAACTCGTTGACTGTGCCAATGGGGGTGGGGGGTGGGGTGTGGCGTGCAGTCGCGACATCGCGAACAAGAGTTTTGATCATGACTAAAGGTGACACTCGGCAGCCATGGTCGCGCTAATGAGCCAACGATCCTAGTTAGTCTAGAGGAGCCGCTAGATTCTCCGACGGCGCCTCTTCGCTTCAATTTTTTTGTGTTTTTAAGGATCTCCGCACTTCCCACACGTTTCATTCATCTTGATGGTTTTTCATTCGTTTTCTTTTCTTTTCTTGTCTTTTCTATTATTTATTTATTTATTATTATTTTTTTTTGTTTAAACAAATTACTTATCGAGCTTTTCGTTTTCGATTTCGTTCTCCACTTTATGGCCCATAACAGATATCGATTGTTGGTGTGTCGCGTTGAAACTGTCGATCGATCGGCGATTCGACGCAAACATTAAATGATGCACTCGTGCATCACCAATTTTCAGTTAACAGTAAAAAACAAAAAACAAAAAAAAACAATGCAATCACGTATTTGATTATAAGGCACGGCTAGTGAAATATAAGGCAAACGCTGCTACGCTTCCAAAACGCATTCCCAATTACTTATGCATGTATTTGTGTCGCAAAACTGTACACATTTGATGGAAGAAATTCTGTTTATCGTGCTTCGTTCGAGTATTTATTACATGGTCGATCATGCTGGATGAACAAAAAAAGAGAGTGAGAAAATAAAAATTAAAGGAATTTTTCCGCTCGTAAGTTACAATAGATGCATGAATAGTGTAAGGCAGTGTGGCATACAACATCGAACGATAGGCATTAATGAATAAATAAACATTATAATTTTACTTTGGATTTCCGTGTGAATATGATTTTCTTGTACTTTTGATATATATAATAATGATATGCACATTTCTTCTAATCTAATCAAATATTATCGACATCTTTGTGCTTCGTGTTTAGATTGGCTCAACTTTTAGCAGCTTTAAATAGCCTCCAAACACTTATGTAATCCAAGAGAAGATTTTTTTTTTATCTTCGAATTGCATTTAAGAAAACGTCATTTGCGACGACACAAGTCATAGTTAAAGTAACTCGTAATAAACTTTATGCATGGGTAGGTGAATAGTAAGGAACAGTAAAGAGAAATAATAACCATTTCCATTATCGCGTATAAATTTTCTAAATCTCTAGCCAATAAACTACTCAGTCTTATCCAATATTCTGTGCATTTTATTTACTTATTCCTTATTGCAAAACCGATAGAATTAATAGGCAGGAAACACTATCGCGAAGTCGCTTTTTTATCTGGATATTTCGTAAAATCGAGTGACTATAATTGTAAATTGTTGAATCTTGGAATAAATTAATTTGTATAACCGACGTTGATTGATGAATTTTCTTGTTCTATCGTTTCTCGATCATCCGTCATTGTTTACGATTTAATTTTATGGCGTGCACAGGATCTTATTAATTCACATACACGTCCGTCGCCCCGGCTCTTACACACCTCATACGGCGCACATATACACTCACGTACGGGCACGCGCGCACTTACGTGCATCGATATAAGACTCGAGTTGTTAACGCGAATTGGTAGTTAATTGAGTGAACAAAAAAAGCGATAAACAAATGTGTTGTATTATTATTATTCAAGCGGCAATCGCCTATAATAATCCCTATGGAATTTTGCCTTATAAAATTCCAATGTCTCATGGGATTACTAAAATATTTTCTAACCAGCCAACTGATTATGAATACGAATTGCGGCGCACCGCTTTCCTTTAATTTGCCTAATTGCGCAAGCAGGCGGCTCGCGGTATCGCGAGTATCCGAATCCAAAAACATTGGAGAATATTATTAATCATCCACGTATCGATTAAATTATTGTAATTCTGCCAACGAATGTTCCTTCCTACATCATCCTTATTTTGGCAGTGCTAAGTCAGTGCCAGACCACCCAGCATTTCTTATGTACACTGTGTCCTTTTCAGTTTCAGCACTTGGACTTTTGGAAATGGGTCTCGTGGAGCGAGGAAAAGAAATGCAAAATTTGGATGCGCCGAGGTCCGGAAAGTCGCGGGATCTCTTTGGCGTTCAGCTCGAGGTGAGTAGGACATAGTTGAAGAGGGATAAACGATATTAATGCATATTAAGTTGATCCGTCAATGCGTCAAAATGAATTGACAGCTATGTATCGGGAGGGCGGAGCGGGGGGATTTTTGAGCTTTTGGAAACTTTGTTCATTGAACTTGAAAGGGACTGTAGCTCGATATTAGTGTTTTAGCATATTGATTAATGCGCGGCCGATTGGTCATTGTTATGATGAACGGAATATAATTAATTGCAATTATCGGACTAGTAATTATTTGAAAATCTGGGTTGCTCCTAATATCTATTCAATTTTAAAATAAACGTTGATTAGGCGGGAATATTTTAATAATAAAATATAGAACAAGATTTTTTTTTTTTTTAAATTACACAGAAAACGGCATTTATAGTGCCTCCTTTAGATTGTGAATAAAAATTGATTAAATGCCCTATACTTTGTTATTTATATTGTAAAAGAAAAACGGCTTAATAAATCTATATAGATTTTTATTTATAAGGATAATATTAAATTTGACTTAAAAGAAGTAGGGTATGACGAAGTATTTCGCTCGTATTTCAAGCTGAATAGGAAATGTAGGAGGCATTCTTGCGTTGATAGGGTGATAAACTTTCATGTACCTAAAACCATTTATATAATAATCATAATAGTAATGAGATTTTATTGGAATAGTTATTTCGGCATTGTTATATGACATTTTTTTTTTTTTTATTATTTTTTTTTATTTATTGTGGAATTATTAAGAACTTGGTAATCTCGATATTGGATTTGAATATCGTTGATATTCAGTATTAGTGAAAACAAAAAACAAAAACAAAGACAAAAAACAAAAAACAAAAACAAAAAAAAACAAAAAAAAAAAAATAAAAAAATTATAAAGTCCATACGTAATAGAAAGACGTCGTAATAATTTATAGTTTTACAATTCACGTAAAGTACATGTTTCTTTTAAAATTATTTGTACATTTGACTTTTATGCAATTGTATAAACAATACATTGTTAAGAGTATTATGGCTTCAATTGAATGCAAGAAGTGTGGCATAAATTTTATTGATCCTTGAATGAACGAAAGAAAACAACAACAACAACAAAAAAACAAAAAAAAAAAGAAAAAAAAAAAGACAAAAACAAAAACATAAACAGGCATTGCAGAAGTACATTATAAACTGTTAAAACGTGTAACCGCAAACTGCATTACTTGAACGGAGACATTCAAAGGGATAAAAATGTAAGTTAAAAATGTAATACGTACATTCACTAGCACCTCGTATAACCGATTCAATGACTAAGCGATTAATTCGTTTAAATTTTTCGTCTATTGTAGCATTTGTAATTTAAAATTCAATTTGCATTAATGACAGTGCAAACGAGCATCACTTTCACTCCGCGTTGCTAATGCGGCAGATTTTTTTTGTCATGTATTTCTAGTTGAGAATTACATACATGAAATACTTTGCGAGAACAACAAATTTAACAATACTTATCGATACTTTATGGGCATATGGTTGGAAATGAATTATGGCGTATAAAAAATCTATGAGAAATGAGATAAAAGATAAATGATACTTTAATAATCAAATGACTCGTTTTATATTGAATTGCAATTCTTCTCGAGTATCGCCGAGTATTATGTTTTTTATATTATTAAATTATTATTTCAAATACTTACAATGGACACTGTAGTCATTTATGGACACTTTTTTTTTCTTTTTTTTTTTTCATAAAATAATTCATTTCGACGATGGATACTGGAGTATTGAATTTTGTCTGACCCGTAAGTAGATGACAACATTAGTTCTAACAACATCTTATTTCATTGTATACCATTTCATTATTATTCATTAAAAATTTGTCATTTAAGGCCGACGGATGATTATTATAACATATATATATATATATATATATATTTGCCATTGGATACGTTTTAATTGTAAAGAATATCTGTGCTTTTCAACAATAATGTTTGTTTCTTTTGTCTTTGAAGAATATATTGATTAAATACGAGTATATAAATATTAATTATATAAATTATAAAATTTTAGTATGCTTATATAAAATAAATTACCTATTGCGCATTGTATAAATTAATTATTAATGCGATGATAAATACAGCCTCGTAAAATGTCAATCTTTAAATCCAAGGATTTATCATGGGATGAAAAGTATTTTTTTTTTTTATCCATACTATTGATTATTTTCATTTCGTACGTTTCAATAATAACAATTTGAAATGTTTGGTTTGCAATAATGAAAATATTCTTAAATAAAATATTCCGAAATAACTAAAACTCTCCTTTAAGTATTGAATATTAATATCTGATATGTGTTATCGTATCTTTTATATTTCTATGTTGTATTCTTAATATTATAATAGACAATTGTATATTGTAAATAAGTATGCATACATGTACACAAATAATTAAAAAGTGTTGGTAATAGGAAAAGGATGGCCATGTAGCTAAAAACGTCATTTAAGCTTAGTAATTGACATTATGATTACATTAAATTCTTATATTAATAATTCCCTATACTATTTTAAAATATAAAATACTTTCATTACTATGACAGCTTCATTTATCAGATTATTCATTATAAGTGAAAATAAATATTCACAATTTTTCTTAAATGTAAAACGAGTATTAATTTTCTTAAGTTGTAGTCATAAAATACATTTTATACTTGGATTATTTAAGATTTTTCAACCGAGGATGCAAATTTCTTTTTTACATAGAACTTTAAGAAATACAATTAAACAGTACTAAAATTTATTTCAAATTAATTTGAAAGTTTGAATTTTTCCTGCAGTAAATACATATTAAAAAATATATATATTTCTAGTTTTATCATTTTGTCTATCGAGGCTGGATAATTTTATTTTCGCTAATAAATGTCCGTGTAATATTTGTAAATTGCATAGCTAAATTTATTTATATATATATGCTTTAAAAATAAATTTAAATTTAGAATTGAATTAGGTTAGATATACGGTTAATTATAATATGGGATGCACGTATGTATAAATTAATGAACAATAAGTGTATAGGAATTACGAATATATGAAAACACATAAATTATTATTTGTATATCATCGTAATAATTATGACCGTGTATATGTCTTTTATAAATTCTTGTTTTTCTCATGCAAAAAAACTAAGTTATTGACTTATAACATCAGATAATCGACTTATTTAAGGTAATAGTGATTTGTATAATTACAAAAAAACTTCCCAACTCTTCTTATTTTTCCCTCTTCCTGTTCATTACCGCAGTAAATTTATTTCCCAGAAGCTCTGCTTCCATTCCATAATTGTGAACATTTTTCTTAACAATTCAGTTTTCTTAGTTCTTCTCAGCATTTTTACATTTTTACGTTCATAATAAATTTCTAATACATTTTTTTTTATCACCGTTAAATAATATTATATTTTAATTTTAAACATAAATTTGGCAATTCTAAACACTAAGGTACATAAGTTTTTGAATAAATTAATGAATCGAAGCAAATCATTTATCCACCATTTGTTATGCAAATACAAATTATAAGCACTTTTAATCACAATTGAAATTCTCTTCTAATATTCCCCAATTTTTATTTTTTAAATAGTTTGCACAGCAAAATTAACATTGGCAAATATTTGTAAATAATAATAATAATAATAATGACAATAATAATTAATAATTAATAATTATTAATAATTAATAATAATTAATAATAATTAATAATAATTAATAAAATTTGTATAATAAAGAGAGTATAAATGAAAACTAAAAATTCGACTGTATCGGAGTGAGTTATGTAAAAGATATAATTTGTATAATAAAGAGAGTATAAATGAAAACTAAAAATTCGACTGTATCGGAGTGAGTTATGTAAAAGAAGTTAGAATTTTTACTACAAATGCAGCCATTATTAGTATAAAAGATTAGCTTAAAGTTAAACTTATCACGTTTCATGTGTTTTAGCTAAATTATTCATGAGACTTCTACGTAATATTACGACGAATACAAGTTTTGATGATGTAAAATGTACAAACTTTCAATCTTTTATCGATCGATTCATTCTTCCATTTAACAAATATTGTTATTTTATCAGTGTTAACAGAATTGTAGAGACGCCCCTTTTTAGTAAATAATAAATAATGTAAAATAAATATTTATTAAATTTAAAATTAAATAAAAATTTCAACTTCATATTGATTTACCTCTTAGCTCTTACGTAATCTGAAATAATATGATAAAATTATTTTTAATAAATGATTTCCCCGACTAATTCGACAAATAATATTCTAATTTTTTTTTTCTATTTAAATCAGTACTTTTTACGTTTGGTAATAACGAATTTTCACGTGACAATTGTAATGAGCAACGACTTATTGCAATAGCAATGGAAGAAGGGACCAATAGAAAGAGTGAAATTTCCAGTTGATCGGGAATGAAATTCCACTCTGAGCGATTTAGAAAACAAGCCCAGATTCATCCGTCACAGTCATTTCATTAACACTTCCGTTATCTTAATTTTCTAAATATCTCTCTTCTTCGTTCTATTCTTACCTTTGTCGTTTTGTTTTTTTCTCTACATCTCCGTGCTTACCTCGAGACGAGATATCTCGTATTATATATACGGTACGATGTAGTTCGATGCTCGCAAAGCCGGACGCTCTGCCATCTCGACAAACAAAAAGGGAAAGAAAAGGGAGAGAGAGAGAGAGAGAGAGAGAGAGAGAGAGAGCGGGAGGGGCCGGGGTGGGTGGGGGCGAAAGAGAGTGAGTGAGTGAGAGAGGGAAGAGCCAGAGCGGCATACTAATGTGACAACTGCAGTAGCTTGAGAACATGAGCCACGTAGGCTCGTGTAAAAGAAAGAAAGAGAGAAAGAGTGCAGGGAGAGAGAGAGAATTAGAGAGAGAGAGAGAGAGAGTGAGAGAGAGCGAGAAGAGGTAACGAGGCGACCTACAAAATAAGGCATATGGTGCCGGTACTTGTAGGTTAGGTAGTCCAG